ACCAGAACTCCGAATACACATGCCTTGCTGATATGTGCAGTGAGCTGAGTTCTACATGAACAATTACAAATTGTGGAACTCAGCACACATCCTACAGGACGTCAGGGGCGTGACCTCTTGTTGCTGCATGAAGGGCATTTGTACTGCTTTATATGCTCAGCCCTAGCGGGGGTGATCTTCACACACTTGCCATGGAACCACCTCTCACATATGTCACAACAAATCCAAAATTCATCTGAAGCATAGTTCTCACCACATGCACCACACAGAGTATCGCCATGCTCCTCGTCTCCTTCCTCATTGAATCCATCATCCTCATCTTTCACATGGACCTTTGAGTACTTACCCTGAGATTTAAAATAAATAAATTAAAAAAATCTATCTCTAGTGGTAAGATGCTGGGCCATGCATGGAGAAATCCAACGAAGCATGGTTGGTTATATAACTAAGATGTCATCACATCAGAGGAATAATGATATAGGTTACATGTGGCAGGATACTGAATTTAGTTTAAGAGGAGCATGGCCTAGTGCATTGAGACAGAGCCATAGTGACAGTGTGACGGGACCAGAAGACAGAAAACTTAAGCAACTTCAACAAGGCACATGTTCATTTTTTTTGAGAAGAGAAGGCTAATGGGGCCTTTCAAGCTCTTTACTGAATTCGCGAAAGACAACCAAAAATGTGTGAAACATAGGACAAAGAAATATACAGTGTAAGAATTTAGCACAACGCAAGTGCCAAAATCACAAACTGGTTCTAGACTAAGAACCCATTATGCAAAAGGTCAGTTATCAAGCAGCTGCAAGAGTTGAGGTAGTCATAAAATACATTGGAAGAGATTACATGAGAGAAATTCAAAGAAGAAAGAAACAACACTAAAGTTCATTAGGAGTATCATCCTTTACCTCACACTGTACTTCTTTCAAAAAACTCCAGCATTGACTGTACGCTAGGCACCCAAAAGCCTCTTCTAACAAACTTAAGCATAAAAAGCAACTGTAAATACTTTAGTTCAAAGCACTTTAACTGACTACTAAGCCTTCCTCAAACCAGAAGTGGGCAACCATTCCAGACCTGCCTAGAATTGTATAAACCAAAGTCTGTTCCGTTTCCAAATGGAACATCAAGGTAAACAATTTTACAAGAAAATGATAAATCAACAATATATCAACTTAGGAGGCCAGTTTTAACTCCTAAATACTATAACAGGCAAGAAAGATAGATTTTCCTCTATAGAAGAAAACTGGACAAATGCTTGACTCAGTTTCCAGCTTCATACCTCTCAATTATTAAACGGACATGACAATAGCAAGCTAGTCACTAGGACATCACTAATATATGCTACGTACTACCTTGAGAGTCATCATACACATTAATTATTCAAACTGTTGTGGATGCTGGAAAACAGAACCATGGCTCAAATCACAGAATACCTATTTGCTGATCCAGTGGACTATATCTTTGGTCCACAACCATAAACTTCAAGGCAAGTATTCAGTGGCAATGTCCTAAGCTGAAGGATTTTCAATTAAACACTGGACAGAGGAATCGTTGTAAAGAGCATTGCACAGACTGTTATCCAAGGAGAGCATCTTTTGGGGGTAAGGGAGAAGGATGAGGTGTGGAAGAGGTTTCCAACCATACCGCTTTAGAATTTGGCTTCGACTTGTTGTTGCTGTGATTTGAAATTGTTGATCTATCCTTTACTTGCTTCTTGGCCACTCCAGTAACAACTTCATATATTGTTGGCAGCTCATTTATCATGTTGAATAGGCGTTTCCTAGATCAAAGAAATCACAAAGATTTAGCAAAGAGCTGAAACTTTTCATCCTAAGTAGACTACTACACCAAAGCAGTAAACCTTTTTTTATTTCCATTAGAGCAACACAGATGTCTCCAGGGACTATTCTCCTCCAAGATTTGACATCCGATAAGGTGTTATTATAATTTCTAGGCATACTTCCAGAATGCTTTACAAAGTGAGACTGTTTAGTTAACAGAAAAAACATAGGCTTTGTAGGCCGTTCACAACTATTTATGATTTGAAGCAACTGGAAAGGTGACATTTGAACAAAAGAAACAAAGCTGATATCATTAAAAAGAAAATATACACAAATAAATCACTTGAAAGGTGCCTATAAAAACAGCAAACTAGAAGGAAAGTACAAAAGGACCAAGTAACTGTTTTATTAAAGGTTGTCGTAGAATAGTTTACCTGTCGGTTTTATCAAATCCAAATCTGGCGCCAAAATAGAAGGCAACAGAGAGTAGCCATGCATCACTATGGACAGCAACTAGAGCCAACCAGTCCTTTTCTTGCATCCCATCTCTAGCAAAGTTTATACCTAATGCTGGCTCTGGCAGCTCGGGAGGCACTTCCTCAGCGGGCAAATTGACTTCCCACTGCTCGCTTGGAAATCCATATAGGCAGAGATTTTCCTTTTCTGCAAGGTTTCCAAGAGTGAGAGAGAGAGAGAACAAATGTGAAACTTTTGAGTTGAAAACAATTTGCAGTATCTAATCTCAATCATAGAAACACTTGTTCAATAACAAACGGGGTCTTATGCAAGAAAGGCAGAATAAAACATTCCATCACCCATATCTTTATGATGCAAAATGCATTTTAGACTCTAAATCAGGCACTAACTTCAATTTTTTTTCATAAAATTTGTTAAATTTGATTAAGAAAAACTGCGAGAGTTTACTGAAACCATAAGTTAGACTACATAAAATGAACAATTTGAGACTTAAGTCGATGACAAGCTGCACAGTAAACAAAAAGTTATCCAACAGAAAATAAGCCAAAAATGAAGCCCATATATGAAGTAGGACCAATACCTTCGAAGCTATGTAAACTTCAAACATGAAAAAATTGATTGCTAAGTCAAGTCGTGAGGGACAACTGCTATTAGGCAGATAACACTGTGGTTATCATTCACATCATCTCCAGGTGAAGTCCAACCAACCAGTACATGGCAATTCCAAAGTGGGCAAAAAGCTTAATCAGTGCTCTAAAATAAGAGATTTTCCTCACAGTAAATTCACATTGCACACAAACTCAGAGAAAAAAATGCTCTTGAAGTAATATGGATACCTCTAGAAGCAAGCAGCAAATACCATATCAAACTCTAAAATCTTGAATTGGATGTGAGATTAACCAGTAAAAAACTTTTTACTCAGTTAAAACACATACCATATATACTAGTAGTAATTGAAAAGAGAAAAAGAGCAATGAAGTTCCTTTTCTTCTGTCCTTAGACCCAATACCCAGACTCCCGAAATAGCAGAATAATGCCTTTTATTATGTCAAATAAAAATGTCTCGTTGGGGTCAGCATCACAAACAGTAGAAATTTGCTAATCTGAACAATCCAATAAGAACAGCACGTGTTTCCACATGTTCACTCTTCCTAAAAGCAATTATTACTAAAAAAGAGCAGGCCAAAATGACATTAGAACCCAAAACCCACCAAAATTCAAAAACGAAAAAAATTAAGTACAAACACACAAAGCAAAACTAAACCCGACGGACGACAATCGCGTAAATGTGCATAAAAAAGAACGCAAAAAGATCCATAACTAACCCGGGTCACACTGCTGATAAAATTCCTCAACATCTGCAAAAGCAAATAAGAAACAGAATGGTCAGAATGTAGCACAGCTCAAAACCCAAAAAAAGCTCAATAATTAGAGCATAAAAACAAACAAAGCTAGTCGGTTTAACGAAAAAATAAAAATAAAAGGAATGTGTGTACGTCAAAATTGTACATTACCAGTGGTAAGGGCTTTGATCATGCCAGCTCGACGGCCTTTAAAATCCCTAAAAACTTCCTCTACGGTGCGGGGATTGTACGGTGCGCCTCCCTCCATTGCTACACACTGCTGCTCAGTCGACTGTCACTTGCTCTGTTTCAGTTCCGGTATTTACAAGAACTTTTTAAGCACGAAAAGAATATAAAGGTGGTAGTACTAAGAAAGGAGGAAGGGCATTCTCGTAATATTACTGAATTTGTAGGGTTATTTTGGTAAAAATAATTCTGCGAAGGTACAACAGGAACCGAAGTGGAAATGAAAACGGAGACAAATTTGAATGAGGAATTCTTGTATGGAGCAGTGCTGTAGGACTGCTGCTGACGTGGAATAATTTTATTGGCGGACGTGAGGTTTCAATAGTTTAAACGGAATTCAGGTACGTATGGATAAAATGAGAGTGAAAGTTTATTTTGAGAAGTATTTTTTTTTAAAAGTATTTTTAAAAAAAAATTATTTTTTGTTGAAAACCAGTTTGTGTTTGACTAATTTATTTAAAAAGTATTTCTGAACAACAATTAGTGTTTGATCAAGTTTTTAAAAACTGCTTCTAAATATATTTTTCTCAAAAGTACTATTTTCTTCTAAAAGCTTGGACAAACACTTCAACTTTTAAAAAAAAAATACTTTTTTTTGACAAAAAAAGTATTTTTAGCTTGGAGAAGTTTGACCAAACATGCTATTAATCACGTTAGTTATAAAATTTACTATGTTACAATTTAGTTTAGTGTTTATGATGAAAATTTACATATAATTAATTTACAAGGAACCTAATTGAACATTTTTAACACTTTCATAGTCAATGTTGCACGGACTCTCCAAAATAGTTACCGCACCCATATCGAATCCTCCAAAAATACACTATTTCTGGAGGATCCAACACGCACCAATCGATATTTTCAGAGTGTCCGAGCAACATAGGTCAAAACATAGAATATTTGTCATACTTCAAAATTTTAATATTACAAGATGTGCACTAATTAAATATTTTGTGCCATTAATACAATAATACCCTAGGGAAAATGTTTGTTCTTGTATATCCAAGCGTCATTCGCATTCATACACCCACGACGAGGTTTCTCAATTCCATTCCGCTTCTATATGCTGGTCAATCTGTTGTACGAAAGAATTTCCCACGGTAAAGCATTTTCATCTCAGCAATTTGACAGAAAAAAAGGTAATAACTAATGGAAGGATACAAACATATTGAATAATACAAGATATAGGCTGAAAGTTCACCAATTACAACTCGGTTCGAAGAAAAAGCATCACACCAAAATAAGAGTTACTCATTCAGACGTTCTGTAACTGGGTGGTAGAGTTGGCATTTACGTTTTGCATACAATTGAAACGTTTGAATCTTTATTCATACAACACGAGTCAGCCGGACCTATATCTGGAGATGCTAGTATTGTTAGTGAGATGCAGTATAAATTAAGACCATTCACATCTTTCTGCCTTCTGAAAATAGGATTGCAAAAATATATTCAGAAGAATAAATTTGAAGGGATGCACTTCTCGTTCCTTGATATCACAAATCGCTCTTGGTCACTGCAACATCAAAAGAAATGTATTTGAATCCTGGAATCCAAAGTTACATCTGAACTGCCTGAAACTCAAGATTTCAGCTTGCGACAAATTCTGAAGATACTGCAAATTATATCACAAACCAAAAGGCCGCAATTAGTCTACAGAAGATTGTTCGCAAAGATTGTAAGTTTTTAACATGCAAATTCAACGCACTGATAAACAATGATCCACAAGGTAAAGATAAATGACTTAAGCGAGGAAACAGGTATTTCTATTTTAAAAGGTACTTTTCCAACAATCTTATAGGTATAGAAAGGAGACATAACAGGAGCTTCATCGGAAGAAATAATAGGATTTACTCTTCTATGAGTTTATAGATACCCGTCAGATATAGTTGCTCCCGAAGTCCTTTCCAAATTTACTTTATCTTGATCTTCGAGACAGTGGATTTTGGACATTACAAGGTGATAAAGAGATATTCCTTAGGCTCAAAAAATAGGAAACTTCCCTTTCAGATGTTGGGAGGAGTCAATTATACTCGAGCCCTTTCTTTAACAGAGAAAACTTTATCCAGGAGAGTTTCAAAGGAGTTTGTGGTCCAGGTATCTTTAGGAGGCTTGCAGCCTATAATACCTTAACTTAACATTACCCTCACAAGAAGGTTTATCAACCATGTCTTTGCAGAAAAATTGCCTAGAGAAAGTTGAGATGCCCAAAACCATACAGAGAAGATAGCAGAATAGTAGCAGCAGGTGAAATAATCTGCAACTAACCATTTTGCTTAGAGGACAATTCCTTATCTTCCTTTGATTCATCGTCCTTCTTCTTTCGAACAGTTTCTTCCAAAAATTGCTGAATTGTCCTCCAATAGTGATCACCACCTGCCAACCAGGTATCCATGTGCATCCCGTTAGGAAATTCCACAAATAAGCATTGCCTGTTGCGTGCAGCTGCCTTTGCATATAACATCTGCATGTGGACTGGTGGAACCATCTCATCTTGTAATCCAGATAGGAAGAGGATTGGTTGCCTGATCTGCACTCAAAAGCATCAGCAAGTATGAGCCTGAACCCTGAAGTCTGAGTGAACTTGTGAACACAACGAGGACAACAAAGGCAGAAACATAATTTCAACCGCTTCTAGCAACTCAATAATAATTATAAATAAAAGGCAAGAAGACAAAAAGTTATTTCACAAGTTCAAAGAAAATCCAAGATGTTCAGGCTACTATAATACACAGATTCATGGTCAATAAGAACCCCAAAATGCATTGTTATCAACACGTGCCATTGGAAAGGATGGTAACTAGATCTCTGAACAGCGTCATTTGCATATCATCTATGAAAAACAAAAATACGACTGACATGCGATTTATGTGCCTTTCATAGCAGACAAATATGTCAGAAGATAAAGTTCCTTTTCAAAGAAATTAATCATATAGAGAAAAAAGCATCTGAAATGTCTTATCAAGGTTATCACATTAAAAAGGTCCCTATTAGATAAACCATGAAATCTATCCAATTTAATTTACTTAGTTCTGTTTTAGTCCATCTTAAAAGTGATGAACTATTTGCTAAAACGTAATTTTGTCCCTCCAAGAATTTAACTTATATAAACTTCGCAAACTTGAGTGACATCTTCACAACTTTCTCTACCTCTAGTAAGCTCAACAGAACTATAAATTCAAAGACTTTACTTCTATGGAAAACCAACTCAAGTCAATTATAATGGAAGAGAGAAAGAGAGTTTTAAAGATGCACCCTCACCTCACCAATGACATCAATGGTATTCCATGGAGATCGAACAACAAAGTTAAGAAGTTTGAGACCCTTTGAACCACTTCCTCCAATGACCCACTTCAAGAATGGCAAGAGAACTCCAGCCATATCCAGGATAGAGGTGAAAGTATTCTCCAATATGAGCCCAGCAACCTACAATAGTAAAAGACAACTAGGACATAAATGCCAAAAACATGCACAAGTTATAAGCACCTTCAGCAGTTTAAACACCTTGGAATCGAAAAACTCTGGAATAAAACCCAGAAAGACAGACACAGAAGAAAGTAACAAAAAGGTGGTGCATAGAGATTCCACAAAACAAAATGACGAGGACTCTATTCTTATGCACAGCTTGACCAAGATACATGCTTAATCAACTATACATGATCGGCAGCAAAACCACCTCAAAATACACTACCTCACACAACAAACAAGAAATCCATAAGCAAGGAACTTGGATATCAAACAAGAAAGCCATACTCGAGGCATATCAATTTGGAGATCGTCTAAGAAACTGGATCAACTGAAGAATACAAATAGAATTACCAGAATCTAGATGTGTTATTCACTGACCATGAAGCTAAATTAAGGAAAGGGAGATTTTGTGCCACACCCCAAAATAATGTTACTTGGCATGTGGAGGTAATGTGATTTTTAATACCGATAAAGATTCAGTAGAAGAGTAGACTACTACTGCATTCTTTTAGACACCAATCCTTTCTCCTATGCATGAACTGGATGTAATGATGGATGATGATCAAGAGTATGTGATAATGAACTAAGATTATGCAAACTCAGGTTTCAACTGTGCGTAGTATTGAAGACGGGTAGAGCATGATAAGTTTCTAGTATACATAATGAACAAATAAGCACAAAAGAGGATCATATACTTAAAGAAAATTACAGCCACGAGTAAATCATAGAGGGTATACACTGAAGAGATCAACACCATAAGTCTACATTAACCTCTATTGTATTCAGGGAAAAAAGGGAGCAGTACATCCTCCCAAAATCCTCCATAAATTGATAAAACAAAAATTAAACTCAAACCACAAAAACGAGATATCCACATATTTGAAGAGTAGCCTGTAAATTCTACATGCATTATACAAAATACCTATATTATAGGCTGATATCTTATCTTACGGTCAATAATTTGGACGAGAATGATTGTTTTTTACATCCAAGAAGAAAGAAAACTAGCTTTCCTTTTTTACTTTGTCATTTGTTGTAAGTTGCACTCCCTTACTGGTGATAACTCAGATTTGTTTAGTTATGTCTTGAAAGCTTGGAAGAGTGCCTCTAAAGTTATTTACTTCAATCAGGTGGAGCCAAGAGTACTAACAGAGAATATAAGTTTGAAAGAAACTTAACAAAGTAGACTGATTTCTTTTGCTCCAATACCTTGTCAGGATTGTTTTTGGTAAGAACAGATCCAACGGCTCCTCCAAGTGACCTTCCAAATACTACTATTCTTGATGTGTCAATATCAGTCCTCTGAACTAAATGATCCAGTGCAGCCTTTTGAAAGAGACAAGCATAACTATGTAATTTCATCTATAGATCTCAGGTAAAAATCTATGGAAGTGGGGAAACTAACAAACCTGAGCATCCTTTGTGATCCCGAGTTGAGAAGGGTATCCATCACTGGCTCCATAACTTTGTTACAACAAAAATATTAGAAATTAAAAAAGAAAAAAGGACACCAGCATTGTCAAAGGCAAAGCACAGACAGGAAACTGATAAATACAGGGAAGAGACTTATACCCTCGGTATGAAAGCATAAAAACATTGCATTGCAGACGTTGTAACATTATGCGAACCATTTCAAGACGGTGTGCGATATCTGCAATTAACTAGTAAAGGATAACCAAACGAGATAGGATTGACTTATACGACATGAAGTTCAAGAGGTAAATCAAGAAAAGGAATATGGAAACAAGGTCGGTAAATCATTCAATAACACCTTATAACAAAAGGATACTTCCTGCATTTTCTTGGAAAAAGATGATAGTTGGGCCTGCAGAATCAAAACGCTATCTCAGCTTAAAGTACACTGAACCAGCAATCAAAAACTAATCACAAGTGGACAACACATTCAAAATAAATGCAAATGCTAACAGCATCATTTCCTATATCAGTAGAAACAACATGGAAACATCATAGTGGTGCATGCTCCAGCTAGGTTGCTAAATGTACTGTAGATATTTAGTTTGAACGCACAAATGAGCTACTGAATTATGGAGTTCGAAGGTGAATGTTCATATCGTATAGTTGTATTTAGGTTCTTTATTCCACTCAGAGATGGCTGACTAGCACATCCTGTCATCAGATCCATACTTCTTGGCTTGGCAACAGAATAAAACTATCACACACACTAATTTACAACGAGTTTTTTTTTACCTTGAGCTAGTAGATGTTGCTGTCCATCTGTAGCAGTATTCTAAACATTTCGCCACCACTACATTTTAGCAGAACTGTTTGCAGCCATAGATAACTACAAACACTGAACTCTTGGACACAGAAATAATCATTTTATATGAAATTTTTAGCTCATTTGCATAATCAAATTACCCAAAGAGTCAATCAGTAAGTAAAACCCTCCAATATGAAGTCTCACCACAGAAATTAACGAGCAAATAAAAAAATCACATCAAACATGCTTATCTGGTCAAAGTAACTCCCAGATCAGTTTAACAAAATTCTACCACAACAATTCAGGTCAAAACCTAAAACAAAATGGTTGTACAACTGAAATTAGGTCCAAATAGTCACCAAATTCAGAAGAAATTTCAATTTTTTTTGTATATTCTACCAGCACTTACTTCAAAATCACAAATTCAAGCTAAATAACGACCTACTTGTCGAACTTTTCAGTATAATTAGATCGAATGCAAATCTCACTAAACCTATACATCATAAAAGCCGAAAAATGATTTTAAGAGAGAGCGGACCTCTACAGTTAGGGAAAACCTTAATGAACCAAGCATGAAGGCGAACTCCATCAGAAGATCTGAGCCACACATCTTCGTAAAGCAGCCGAAGCCGAGCCGGAGTAATTGGATATGATTTTGTGAGTCCAGGCAACACCGGCACATATACAAGTTTTTCCTGAAATGCAACCAGTATTGCCATCCCCGCCACAACTATACCTCCCACTCCGTACAGCAACAAGCTTACGTACGACACCATTTCGTTTTCGCCTCTGATTCCTCAAGCTTTTTGTTTTCTCTAAAATTGACTGTAGATACAGATGTGTGTGTGCGTAATCGAAACAGTAGCACAGTAACGGAGAGCGAATTGGAGGAGGAAAATGGCGAGAATGAGAGAGTTAAGAGTTAAATTCTTCACAATTCCTACTTGAGCCAAAGACGGTTTACTCCTATGTACCGNAAAAATACCCCTACCTAGTTAAATATTTTTTATTTACTACACTTCTTCCTTACATATTAGTTATTTCTTTCGTAGTCATTTGTTGAACTTAAGACGTGAAAGACATAAAAATACGGACAATCACATATTCATATTCTCGGTCTCTATAATATAGTATTAGAGAAAGGGATGCCATATTATAACCAAAAAAAATACAACCAAAAGTGATAACATGACATCCTAGCGCCACCATGAACAACTAAGAACCAAAAATATAAATTCTTACTAATCCTACTTCCACCATTATTCTCGATCTCTCTCTAAATGAATAAAACATGTTAAGACGTCTTACAAATCTAGGTTTCGTATTTTGATATGATGAGTTTAACGGGTTATAATGATTTTTTTAAAAATGATTATTTTATTAATCTGGTGGATTTTGTTAGATGAGGGTATTTTTAAAAAGCTTTGTTAACGGTAAGGGTAAATATGTCCCGATAATATAACAGACGGTAAATGTGAACAATATACCAAAATAGAGGGGTATATTTGACCCCTTTCCCAAATAAATGCGACCTATAGTCTTCTCCAGCGAAGCGACGTCGCCGTCTGTTCCTCGTACGAGTGTTTGATTTTATTTTACTTTGGGTTAATACATTTTTAAAAAATCAAATTTATCTACGTTTTGTAATTTCTATAGTTTTTATTAGGGTCCAAAAGTAGCACACTATATTATATTAAGGAGATAACATACAGGGAAATCCATATGTTAAACTATGGGGTGTTATTATTAGTTTATTACTCCTGAATTATAAGTTTTTCTATTTACAGTTCTGATAGAATATGGAGAGTGATATTACTCTCTTTGTAAAGTATATAAGCTAAAAATTAAGCAAAAAAAATAAAAAGATGACACGTGTTCATTCATTTTTAATTAATTATTCTTATTTTTTATTTGTTTTTTGTTTTTTCTTATTCAACTTTATTGATTCTTTTATTCTTTAAAACTATACATCATTTGCTAATAAAAGTAAATCCAATTGATACCATAACTTTAAAACAATAACATCAAAATTGAATAATCAAAATCACAATTTTATCAATAAAAGTTTAGCTCTTACTTGAATATCAGACAGGATAGATTTGAGATGGGATACTTATTCCTATGAATTGCTCCAACTTTTGTGCCTTTTTTTTGCATAAAATAATGATTCCAACTATCATATCATCACGCAACTCATATTAATTAGTACTTAGCTTTCAGCAAAGTTCTTGTTTATTTTTTCCTAGGAAAATTCTTTCTTATTTCTATTTTGGAAAATTAAAAACACAGCTCTCCTTTTCTCTTTCCAGTCTTCAATCATGAAAAGTATGCTTTGTGCCCAGCCTATTCTGCCACTCCTTAAACAACCTGAAAACATTTCCTTTAATTTTTATAAGTATATTTTAGGGGGGGTTTGTTAGAAAAATATAGCATAATTTGGACGAAATAATTAGGCCTTAATGGTGTAGTCATTGTCCTTACAGAATTTAAGCCTCCCAATTTCGTTGCTGCAGGGATTATGCTAGAATTCCTCCAGGATTCTACAATGCCTCTGAAATTCGAATATCAGCAATTAACTCGAATTTCCACTAGAATAAACTTTGTGAATTGTAGATAGCAGAAAGAGAAGAAAATGAAAACTGTTGTTTTTCTGATGATTTTCGTTTTGGAGAGGAATGTATATTTATAAACCCTTTTAGGCGTGTGTTATAATTAACATACTCAACCTTTGACAACATGCACCTTTTAAAATCAATAGTCACCTTTTTTGAATTTAAAAAAAAACTGTTAAAAACATTTTTCTGAAATTTAATAAAAAATATTTTTTATTTAATCAATCTATCTATCTATCTATCTATATCTATATCTATATTATTATAAAAATACGAATATTCTATGCTAAATGTTGAACGACCAAAATATCCTTCATGATAGACTTTTACGTCCTTTATTAATTAGAGATATCTCTATAATATTAATGTGCTAAAACGTAAACGTACTTCATTATTTGTAGAGTTCTAAGTCAAAATGTAAAACTTTAGAAATTATTATCCGCCTCATAATATGAATTCATCGGAAACAATGACTGTGTTCAAGTTCAAGTGAAATTGGAAGTCTTCCGCTTCTGGATATTAAGAGTCTTGAAATAAAGCAAATCAAACCAGCTCATGATTATGCCTAAGTCATACCTTTTTATTATTCCTGGTTCAACTCAACGACAAAGCATAACAGAAAAGCAATTTGTACCAAACCAGGAGCTCATGATTCTTGCCGAGTTCCTAAAACTTTTAAATGTAGAAGGCTTGGGATTTAACTTTAGAATTGGAAGTTTTATTTATGGTTTGATTTCTCTATGTATTTATTGTATTGAGAACTTTTGGTCGATCTACTTGTAAGTGTTATCTATATATGTTTGGTCGCTATTGTGCCAAAAACTAAAGGTTGGCTACCAATTGCGTTTATTCGATGCTCAAGGATTTTGAGACAAGTGTTTGATGGTATTCTATATGTGTAAGTTCTATGATATTTTTTGTTTCCCTTGATCAATAATTTCATTGCGCTTCAGTCGTAAATTTCTACTTTTAGTCCACTAGACTAGCAATACTAATTACCGTACCCTCTATTTTCTCTTTTCTTACTACTTTGTTGCCTCATTTTCAACCTCGGAAATTATCAACGCCTTTATTGCCTTCAGAGAAAGAAGCTTGGTGTAGTTGTACCCATATTTTTTATCCATAATGATGAGTTATGGCTCATCTCTCATTACCATCTAATCCATTAGATGTTCTATTTAATTTTGTTTGATTGTATATTTTAGTTTATGGGGCTCAGAATTAAGGTAAGTGGTGCTGGGTTGCAGAATTTACTCGGCCATGGTGATTAGTGGAGATGATATACCACATGTATAAATATTTTTTTCTTAAATATACATAATTTATATATATCTTTTATATATTTAGAATATATATAATGTACAAATAAATATATAAGTAGTATTATTTATCCTACATATATAAATAAATATACTTGAAGCAGAAAATAAGTCACTAGATAGAGTATTACAAACAACATACCTAATTTATTTTAAAATTATACGTTATTGTTAAATATACATAGTGATATCCCTTAGATTTTTTATTATACCATAAGTGGTTTATGGTACATTTTACCATATATAAGTGAATAAGCATGCATGATTTATAATGTACATATACCACATATATAACCTTACATTTCCTGTGGTATATATACATGATGTATACGGGAAACAAATAAATAAATAGGTTATATAATATAGACAAAGTTGTAGATTTTATACCAAAAAATATTATTTTTGCTAGGCTTTAATGGTAGAAAAGATCAATCCATGGATGGAAGGAATCATTGCAACAAACTAAGAATAAATCATTTGGGCCAAAATAGGAGAATAATTCTTATTAGCTATAAAATAGGAAAGGATTGGTACAAGCGTGATTCATGGTCTATAATTCATAAATTGGAATGTAAATCTTTTGTTGCTACTTTTGTTAATTCATTAATGCTATTAAGATTTTGTAATATTTTATTAAATACTGGACAATTATGTAACTTCCTCGAATTATTACACATCCAAAGTGCTATATACGATAGAGTTTTACATATTATAATATTTTGTTTTGTAATACAGAATTTTTGCTTGAAGTCTAATATAGAATCATTCACGGCAAGAGATATAATAAACATAGAATATTTTTATAATAAAACATGTACCCTAAATTTTATTTTTCACAAAACACCAAATCCCACTGATAGTGTTAGATTTTAATTTGGACTACAAAATAACTTATCCTTATTCTAAACCAAACCTAAACATTTATGAACAAATCACAAATAAACTTTACACGGATTAAACGAACAAAACTAAGATAATCCAAGGTAATAGATATAATAGATATATATCAATATATGTTTTTTAAGAAAAACATATTCCCTATGACATCTTTTTATTTTTCAAGAATTTTTTTAACCAATGGTGTCTTTAAGTTTAGTGATAGATTTAATTTTGTGATGACCCAAAAGGTCATCTTATGTTTTAGAACTCGAATTTGCGATCTTAAGCCTTAAAAATCTCATTTTTACCCTCTTCGATTTGCGTGCGCAGTCCGGACAGGTTTTCGGAAAGCTTTTATGTTGAAAATTGATGAAAATAGGATTTTATGCCTTAAAAGTTAATTTTTATTGACTTCGGTCAATATTTTTGGTAAACGGGTCCGTATCCGTATTTGATAGTCCTGGTGGATCCGTATCGAATTATGGGACCTGGGCGTATGTCCGGAATCGAATTCGGAGGTCCCTAGCTCAAGTTATGAAATTTTGATAAAAATTAAAAGTCTGAAAATTAATTATTTTTAAGAATTGATTGATGTTTGGCATTGTTAGTATCGGGTTCGTATTCTGGTTCCGGAACCCGGTACAGGTTCATTATGATGTTTAAGACTTATCTGTAAAATTTGGTGAGAAACCGAGTTGATTTGACGTGATTCGGACGTCCAGTTGAGAAAATAAAAATTTTAAAGTGTTCTTGAGAATTTCATTTGATTTGGTGCTAAATTTGTAGTTCTATGTATTATTTTGGCGATTTGATCGCGCGAGCAAGTTCGTATGATGTTTTTAGACTTGTGTGCATGTTTGGTTTGGAGCCCCGATGTGATGACCCAAAATGTCATCTTTAAATTTAATAAGTACTTTTATGTTCTAAGACCTCGAAAAGCACTATTTAGCATCCTCGACTTGCGTGCGTAGTCCGTACAATTTTCTGGAAAGTTTTCATGTGAAAAATGGATTAAAATGTGAAATAGAGCCTTAAAACTCAACTAAGTTGACTTTGGTCAACATTTTGAGCAAACGGACCCGGATCAATATTTTGACAATTCCGGTAGCTCCGTATCGTGATTTGGGACTCGGGCGTATGCCCAAAATTTAATTTGAAGGTCCCT